AAGAGGAACGATCGTTTGTGACTTCGAGCGATCTCGAAACGAAAGCGGAGCAGCGTAATTAGCAACGTTCACGTGGCCGAAAAGTATGCGGATCGTGGAAGAGAACGTCGTTTGTGTATCACGATATCGCCACGGACGCGCCTCGTTTTCCGTGACACGCCGTGACACGGGTAATTGATCCTAAATTAACGAGCCACCCGGTATGCCGAGCGCGACCGACAAATGGAACGTGGCGAGGATGACAGTGCGCGACTAGTTCAAACGCATTCGCGCACATGTCGCTGCCGATCGACACCGGATAAGCGATATATGCACCTGTTAGACACTGCCATACGCGACTGCCTGCAAACAGATTTATGAAAGCGCGTTTTATCTTCCTCGGGGAATGTCCGAAACACTCGCGTTCGTTACTCGAACACGGCCATTACTCCTTGGAAGCTGTTTTCCTTCGTCAGAGATATCTCTAGTTTAACGCCAGAACTGCCAGTGCGGTCGGAACGACCAATTTGTGACTCTTCGGACAGAAGCAAACTTAAATTCACCCAGTCCCTGATAAATTTTACTTTAATTCCTGTCCGTACAAATTGTACACTAGTGATCGAGTTTCGGCCATTCCGCAAACCAACAATCGTTCGAAACCGGTGAAATTTATACGTCTAACCGATGTCGAATAAAAAGCGACACAAGCTGAACGTTATTAATTGTCGTTAATTTCAACGCAACGAGTAGCAGACGAGGTTCGGTATTCACAGTTCTCCTGTCGCACGAAAATATACAGATGGCCGAAACCAGGGATAAATTAACCCTAATTGGTAATTCTATCGCAGACCTCGCGCGACGTAATTACGTGCTACGCTATTTTCGCGTACGAGAGGCAAATTCGATTTTCCTCGTTCGATCGTTTTTTGCTCAAACAAACGCGGGAGGAGGGGGGAGAGGGGGGGGGGGAACGCCGCCGTAACATCGTTGCAGGAGTCTAGGGATTTAAATTATCGGTCTGCCTTTTTAATTTACTCGCGAAGAATTAGTTCGATAAACTCGTTCATGGATAATCTCGTTTATCAGCAATCCACCAGTTGTTTACCGAGTCCATTCGCGCAAGATTACAGTACCCTCGGGCAGAAAATGGATAGATACTAACTAGGTATTACGGCACTTGTGCTAGTTTTTGTACTAGATCAATGACATTACGCACTCAGACTAATGATATAATTATTGTTATTCTTTCAGACGATCGCGAAATGTAATATCATTTTCTTGACTTTCGCATAACTAAACAAAAGAGAAGAAAAAAAGGGACCAACTATCCATTTCAACGTTTCATCTCGCTCACCAAAACGGTCGAATTTTAATATTCTGACTGAATGTAACGAGAGAACGGGAGTCAGGCCGCGGAGGTCGCGTATTTCAATCCTGACGAACGACCGTCCATACGAGGAGTCACCGTTATTAATTATCATTAATTTAAACGCGGAGAACCGTGGGGTGGTTGGTGGTTGTCCGCGGGTTAAAACGCGCGCGAGAGGCGGTCACACGATGACTGGTGAGAGAGAGAGAGAGAGAGAGAGAGAGAGAGAAGAGAAAGAGGGGAGAATGAAGCGCGTTGGCGGCGTTCTCTTCCAACGTTGTGAAACAAACGTACAGGATGGTGTCCCAAACCGGGGATAAATTACAGAGTCGTTGTCCTGGCCATTGTATTTAACTGCGACGATGCGTAATTGCTGGTACGCCGTTGCATGTACGACAAAGAGAGAGAGAGAGAGAGAGGAGAGAGCAAGAGTGGCCGAGTACAGGGTGGAGAAAACGAGTTAGAAACCTCGTGGGGAAGCAGATAGGGCGAGAAGAGGGTGGCCACCAGGAGGCGACCAGGGGAGTGGCGGAAGGCCAAGTTGCCACTGTGGTCGAGAACTATAGTCATCGGAATGGCCATTAGGGGTCTCTACGGTTCCAACAGTGGCTCACTAAATTTCACCTTCTTGCGCGGCCCGCGACTACCTTGCGAATCGTCTACAATTAATGGCACCTTAGCTGGGTGTATATTACAATATCAGTGAATAGGTAGCAGCTACCATACCTCAGGTATGGTTTAACTTGGAGAAATTACTCTGTGTACAGTTCCCAAATGTCACGCGTCATTAGTGTTAACGGTGGAATGGCATTAAGCGATTGCGGTCAATAAACCAGTGAGAAGTTTATAATCACTTTTTACTTAAGGTTAAGGTCCTTAACCTATCGCGATTCAAGTATGTACGATGATTGCCTTTTAACAATAATTTATACTACCGTATTATATAAAATGTAATATATCACATTGTAATTTATAGCTCTGACGACAATTTTCCGAACGATAGTGCATTTATTGCGTCGTTCAAATGTTGCGAAATTAAATCAAATAAATATAGAACTGACTTTATTATACACAGTGATTTAAAGAATTTTAACTTTTAAACACGGGCGAGCAAGTGTTTCCGTGCATTTGGAATTCTACTACACGTTTTATCGCGTTAAGAGCGTAATTGATTAATCATCGAAGTAAAAATTTCGAAAAAATTCGTCGAGAATCGGAGTTTGGCAATCCAAGGTTGGATCAAAAGGCTCGAGAGAGGACGGCTTAGCTGCCGGTTTTCTCTGGCTGCGGCTGTGCGGCTAACGAGTGTAACGAGGCATCCTGCCCCGTCAAATTAAAGGCGGGCCGCGCGAGAAGCGAAGCGAAATTTATCGCGCCGCTTTCGGGAACCGCGGGCAAAGGCCACTTAGCTGCCCGTAAATGCGTCGTCTCTATGACGACACGGCGGCAGATGTCTCGCCAATAGATCACCCCGTACGAGCGGAGAAAGAGGCTTTGTGAACGCGTGTCTCTCATCGCGAGCATCGCCGATGCACGTGAAAGAGCCCGCGTATGAGTTATGTCGTAACGAGTCGCGACGTTTTCCACTCGTGCGTACGCACTCCGCGTTGCGAAAAGACTCTTGGCTCGGCAAAGGTCAACATTCATTGCGATTAACGCGAGCGTGTAACTTTAATTGCACGTGGATCTGAAGGTTCGCATAAGTTATTCAACGTAGAGAATGAAATGAAACTGAATTTGTATAAAAAAAAGAAGAGATTGTTTAATTATCTCGTTAGGAACTGTAGAAAAAGAACGATCATCCAACAGAGAGAGAGAGAGAGAGAAAACATCGTTCGTGCCTTGCAGAGGATTCGAGAGATTAGTAGAAAGATTTATTAGGAAGTTACGGAAACTCGATGTTCGAACATGGTTACAGAGTCTCGTTAGGGTCATTGATACCGGTTGCATCGTTGCCAGACTGTTTTTGTTAGCGGGAAAAATCGTTTGACGGGGATGTTGGCGATCTAGCAACCGTTTTATTGGCATGCGTGAACACTGGTACGTCGGAAGACAAGTCAGTGTCAATGAAATGTCACTTGCATCGGTACAATCGGCAGCATCCCTAGGCTTGCGCCCCCTTTGGTTATCCATACACCGAAACCAATCGCTTCGTCAAGCCGATCTTCGACCACTGACGACACATTATGCACTTTTCTCGTCGCTGACATTTATCGATACAGGATACTTTGTAGGTCGTCTTCGTCCGAGACCTTTGCGTCATACATTAGTTTTATTCTCGCGATGCGCGAAAGAAGTGATAAATGGTTTGCCGTGATATGCCTTTGCAAAATTAACAGAAGATCAAAAAAAGTTTAGAAAAAAGTTTACTGTCGTCTTGGACAGACGGGAAGATTTTTTGTTTTCAAAAAAGTTTTTCTTTCATTTCCAGTTTCTTTGGTATTGAAATCGAGGCGCTCAGGAAAAGATTCGTCTTTCCCAGTGAAAATAGAACGATAATTTTTGTCAGTTACATCGTTCAGCTATTTAATCCGATCAATCGCGAATGGCGAGAGTTTCGTGGAAAACGAAAGAAAACGAAGCGGAACGTCCATCAAGCGTTGTTACAATCAGCTGGATTAATCGGTTCTTTCGTTTTTGGCCGCTCTAAATCTTTCTGGAAAAATAGAGCAAACGGGCTGGGCAGATTGCTCGGGTTGCTGGATGGCACCACCGCGTGTGTGCATGGCGCACCGCGAATTTTCATCGAGCCACTCTTCTCGAGTCGCGCGCTATTTCAGCTCGTTAGGATAACGAGGATCTAATGTCGCGTTCACAGCCCGGCCAATTACGCGTTACGGGCCGAGGAGCGCGTCTTTCGGCGGATCCGCATTGCGACCGTGCTGCTGTCCGGAAACGAAGATAACCGCCGGTCCAACTTTGTAATTAATTAAGAGTTTTACCGGATTTTTTGTCGAC